GGACCATCTCACCCCCATTATATCTAACTGTCCCACCCGGTCAGGCAGGGAGGGTATGCTGGGGATCCCGTCGATGAAAGAATGTCAACTGGTGGGGCCCAGAAGGAGAGTCTTCTCTGCCGTGGCCCCCGCCCTATGGAATACTCTCCCCCCAGAGGTGAGGCAGGCCCCAATTCTCTTGTCCTTCCGGAAAGCAATCAAGACCTGGCTCTGCCAACTGGCATGGGGCGCGAAAAGGGGCAACCAACCCTGGGGGTGGCCAGCACCTTGAAGATGCTCTCATATGTTAACTTCTTACTGACCATCAACATCTTGGAAGATATTACTTATGTGTTTGGCTTTATTCTATTTTTACTGTATTTTATATTGTTTTATTGTATTTTAATATTTATTGCTATTTTATTGGGAATCGCCCAGAATCACTTTTTGTGAGATGGGCAGTATCTAAATTTGAAATATAAATAAATAAATAAAAATAAAAGTCCACTGAAAGATCAAGGAGGGCCAGGTGGGTAAACTGGAGATGGGCATTCTCCTCCACCATTATCATGTTTGAACTGGGTCTCCCTTTATCTTGATCAAAAAGACTATTTTTAGAAATATTACTGCAAAGTCACTGTAATGGGAACTATGCTGGTTTATCATTATTTATTAGGCTGGGAAGGGAGAACAGCAGCCTGATCTTGTATATGGAACTATGCATTTCCAGACATGGGAACATGGACCGCAAATGCAACTTTGGTTTATCTTTCCTGGTACAACAAAGATCTCATGATGTCACTTGATTGCATATTTTCCTCCCATTCTTGCTGACTGATCTTTCTGTGCGTAAGATTCGATTCATGCCATTTGCTAAATTACTATTTGTTTAACTACCATTTATTGATTAACCCACAGTTGGCTTTGACTGCATCTTTTAACCATGGTTTATGAATCACAGTAGCTAGGTTTGTACAACGTATTAAGCCAAAATCAAACATGACTTGGCAGGGTAAGGTAATTCAGCCAATCTGATGACACTACATGGGATACACAGTATGTGTTTATGTGTTCTGTAGGACACTTAAGATATTTGTTTCTCTTCTGGTGCAGTCTCTGCAACTCCAGAACTGACTGTTGGAAAGTCCTTTTCAGAACCTGAAGATTCACTATCAGTCAGTACAGCCAGCACAGAACTACATGGAGCAATAGTATGATTTAGTAGCCAGGTTCACATATGTTAAACCCTATGCCTAAACAAACAAATCATGACTTAATGTAAGAGCCTGGATCACATGACATACTAAGACCATCGTTGTGTTCTTGCCACAGCACATTGAACCACAAATGACCCAATCTATTTTAGACTCATCTAGCTTGTTGTATGAATGCAGTTACAGTGGCAGTTTTGCTTAGGGATGCCACAAAACTGTATTTTTAAGATGACAGATTATATTAACTAATGGTGCACAACATTTTGAATTCAAACTGTTTCGAACTCAAACATTCCTTTCAAGATTATAATGCTGTGTTCTAGGTTCAAAACAGCTGGGCTTTAGAACATTTTACCAGAAGTGTTCTGACACAGTTTGGACCATTGTGGAAATGTTCTGAGTGAAAAATGGCTGTTTCAAGCACAAAACACCTATTTCAAACCTAACACCTTCAGTAATGGTTGAACAGCATAGGTTGGAACAACACATTTTGAATTCAAAATAACTGCTTTGATTTTGAAGTTTTGCAAGCTCCTAATATTAACTGTATTTAAACAAAATCTGATGAAAAATCACTGTGATCTTATCTCCTCTTTTGGATTGTGGTCCTTGATATGCCCCTGATACGTGGCCCATCCATCACACCATCCTTGACTGGCTGAGGTCAGTTAAAGACCTACTGACTGCTTTTGCGCACTATGTTAGTTTTAACTTTGGTTAGGGTTTTCTAGAGGCTTACCATTTTGTGTGAACTCAGCTTAATTTATTGTGTGTGCTCCAAAATCAGTACCTTCAGCAGCAAAGTCAAGGGTGTTCTATGTATGTGGCCCTCTGTCTCCCCACATCTGCTTACATGTTTTTTGTAGCATGTTACTCTTTTTTGTTCTGTTCTCTCCATTCTTTCCTTCTTGCTCACTTATACCCTAAGAGAATATATTCCCTACAGAACTAAACTGCCATACAGTATTTACAAACCTGAAAATAAGTTAGACAGATCTTAAATTGTAGTTACTTTTAAGAGAGAAGTTGGATTGTAGTTATTTTTTCACTAGTTTCACAATAATTTCTTGTACATTCTTAAATACAGCAGTCAGCCAGACCCCTAAGGAGGAGCAAAATCCATCTTACTAAGCCACTGTAAGAAAAGAGTTGCCAAATGAGAACACAAAAGGAGCACAAGCTTCACCCAGGCTGTCAGG